CCACGGTGCGGGCTGGCGCCTCTGCCTCGGCCCCTGCGGGCGCGGCCTCTCCGCTCCTGTGCCGTGGCAGCGCTTGGGGGCCGTATTCTAACTAGTGCAGTAACAACGGGAGCTAAGGAGAGGCTTCGCAGCCTATAAGTTTATACTTCTGACTAGACTGAAGGGGATTAGTCTTACGTACGCCTTACAGTCGTAAGAACCTACATCTAGGAGGACGGAATTTGTATAATTACACATATGATTCAGCATATTGAATTTCAAAAAACACTCCAGCCTCTGTTCTCAAAGTTGTCTGCAACTTGTTCCATAAATTTGAGAAGGCAATGCCTCGTAAAATATACAGTGAGAAAATCTGTCTTAAAAACCTGAAGCAAAGAAATACCTGGTCTGGAAAATGTTGCAGGTGAACAGCTAATGTGTGTGGTCACGTTTTAGTTCCAAGAGAAACCCTTCAGTCTCTTACAGATGTGGACCACAGATACGTAATTCCTGTGATTTCAGTGGGACCACAAATTGTCCATCAGTGGTATCTCAAGTCCCAAAGGAAATCTATAAAGCATGAATGTAGTTATGACTTTTAATGCTTTTCTAAAGTCATTGTTCTTACTATGTTAAAAAGTGAGGGCAGCCATTTCATTGAGACGTTACAAGCACAAGCCAGCTTCAGAGTCTAGCAACACCATTCTTACCTCATTTTAAAAGGTGGGAGTTCTTTAATTCACTCTTAAACTATAGCTTGGTGGGGGAGCAGGGGATTGTGAGAGACTTCTGGGTTTTGAGTACCAGCAATCAGAATAACGGAACCACTGAAAGCCTGAACAAAAAAATCTGGAAGTGGGCTACGCAGCTACTGTAGGCTGGCTCTGCTCTAACAAATGTGCATAAAGTGCGCAGCTGAAGGGTAAAGACAAATTTGTCTGTGGAATGCTGTCTTCCAAGAAGTCTTTAGGTGGCCCACGACAGACACTTGGGAAACTGTTCATTGGTGGCATTATGGGTCTTTGAAGCCTGATTGCTGTTGCTAGAGAATGGTCAAGGTTCTCTCTTGACCAGAAAACCAAGAATGCTTGAAGACTAGTCTCCTAGCATTTTTATTACTGTTCGCAGTGAAAACAGGTAATGCAAATGAGTCTAGAAGACATTAGAGAATTAATAAACCTCTCAAGGACTCTAAAGTTACTTCAATTTTGTTGCCTAGTGTAAGTAACTGCATTTTTTAAAGATTGGTATTTAGGAGTAGCAATCTAAAGATACATTTTCTTAAGCTTCACACAGTTAAAAAAAAAAAAAATACAGACCCCATCAGTGCTGGGAGTGCCACACCCTAGCAACAGGGTGCAGAGAGACCATTCCTGAGCATGAAGGGGCTCTAGAAGTGACAGGAGGGAAGCGCTCACAACTTACATGAAGCGGTCTGCAGCGCTCCCAAGTCTGCATTCAGTCCTCTCGGCTATGCGAAGCCGAGAAGACGGTCCTGTCCCATTCCTCCTCACCCCTACACGCACTTCAGTACTGAAGGCCACCTCATCGCTGTGCCCCCTTCCTGCTTCAGTGCTTAGGGAAAGTGTGGCAAAAAACAGTGCATGGCCTTGTAATTAGGAGCATCTATTGTTTTGGGAAAACAAGTGGGATATCTAAGTCATTCCACATTCTGCAGAGTGTTTGTTTCACAGAAGAGAGAACAAAAGTGGTCAGTGTAAAGAGAAAGGAGCGTTTAACTTTTGATTACTGAATATTAGTACCATGCCTCATAGAGCTAGTTACTGTTACTAGTTACTGTGAGGTGGGTAAGGAGGGATTTTTTTTCATTTTTATTTTTTACCCCAGCAAAGGAGAACTCGAAATATAAAAATATTAGCCTAGACAGTATAGTTGCCTTCTGCGTATGTAGATTTTTCTGCCATCACTTTCACAATCAAGTGTTTTTCATTCTTAGGAAACTTTTTTAAAGGTACTTCAGTTACTCATTTCTAGGAACTGAAGTCTCATGTCCAGAAAAAGCTCCCGTTGGTACAAGCTGTAGCTGCCCATCTGCCTAGCAACACAGATCATCACAAACAAACCGCTCTGGAGCACCCTGGCTCCCAATGAGTGCAGTGTCCAAATATGGTCTCTGTATTGACAGTTCAGCACTCTTAGTGCAGTTCTTTTTGCCAGCATTGGAGATCTCCTTCATGACCATGACCTCTGATGCAAGGTATGTTCTGGTGGACTAGGGAGGCTGTTGGCCGAAACAGATTTGCAGATGTGCCCATCAGTTTCTAAATGTCTGGACTGAGCTGATACAAGCTCTAACAATTAGAGATGCCCTAGCCAAATACCAATCTCATCTCTTCAATTCAGCTTGCCAAAATCCGACTCTGATTTTTACTGTTACTTTCTTGTGATGGTCCCTTCCCCTTTTAACCAGTTTTATCCCAAGATACAAAAAAAAAGTTTATCAGAGTCAAATCCAACTCTTTGAGGGGAAGATCGTGAGTCACCAAGTTATCATCTCTTGTATTATTTGTTTCTGTCACGTTACTAGTTACAGGCTTAACTAGAACCATTCATAGGAACTGATTTCTTTTGATTGATCCAAGCTACAAATTTTCTTTACTGACTATCTACTTCATACTGAATTATTTTGGAAGATTTCAGCAAAATCAGTTAAACAGTTCAAGTTTGAGAGCAAAGGCTTGAAACTTGGCAGTGAGTCCTCTCATTGTCTGGAGGGTGCTGCTTCTGTCCACTTGAAAAATCCACTCCAAATTTGGACAAATGGTGTGACTGAAAATTTTAGGCTTCGTTTGGCCAGCGGGAGGTCCTTCAGAAAGTCCCAACTGTGTTTTGTTTGCACCAGCCACACCCCAGGGTGGAGGTGCAGAAGCAATGAAAAGGGAAAAGGGGGTAAGGGGCTTCTCAGGGGAATACTGGTGCCCACAGGCTGGAGGTGGGAAGGCAGCTCACCTGTCACCGCACCCTGGCTGACAGCCACTACCTGTGTGGCACTTGGGGCAAAACGCCAGGCTTACTCCCTCTGAGGGCAGACCCAGGCAGGTGGCGGCAACTTGCATCGCTCTGAGGCAATTTAAGTAGCAGTGGTCTGTTCATGGGGGTTAAGATATTCCCAACAGATGATGCGTGTGTGTGTGTATCACTACTGTGCCATATAGCGGCGTTTGGGAGGTATTTTTGTCGCTTTCCTCAGCTCTTGGGAATTTGGAGGTGCTGGTTAGATTCCAGAGTTAAAGAATCACAGGTTAGGTAATGACAACATTAAGGTTGCTCTGCAATCCTCAGGTGCTCTCTCTGTACATGCATTTTAATGACAAAATCATACTGAATATTTCTCTCCCTTAAAGTAGTTCTTTTATTCCCCCTTTTTTCCTGTTTTTTTGTTTCTTTGGTTGGTTGGTTTGGGGTGGTTTTTTTTTTTAACACAGTTTTATTTAGGAGATCTGAATTAATTTAAAAATGCTGTAGCTACTTTGATATGACAGGTCTTTATTACTTAATTTATATAATTGTTACTGTTGTTGGTTCCTGCAGTACTGCATTCAGCTGCAAGAATAAGATTAAATAGATATATTCTGTTTATTCCTGAGTTTATCACAAAGAACTAGACTAAAAGGGTACATATTTTGCTTGAATTCATCTTGGATGTAATTGTGCTTGTGGAGTTAACCAAACGCAAACTTGACTTTGAACTTCAGTCGTTGTTTTCAAGTTTTGCTGAGCCTGAACCAGAAGTGAACTAGAACAACTCTGGTAACAGATGAACCTAAACTGAAACCAAATGGAAAAATTATATTAACTTTAGTGGAATGTTACATACATTTGTTTTCTGCATGTAACTGATCTCCTTTGGGACCTTATTTTAACAAATATATTTAAATTGTTTAGAATAGTCAGACTTCTATATTTGCCTCAACCCAGAGCTGAAACGTATGCGTTAATTGGTATAGAACG